TCTGTCTCTCTCTGTCTTTCAAAAATGAATAAACATTAAAAAAACATTTAAAAGCTCTTCCGGTGATTCCAATGTGCAGCCAGCTTTCGTTGGAGAGGGAGAGGTGAAAAAGGTTGAGGCTTGAGAATTTGAAGTCGGCAAGAAGTTGGAAATGCACACTGCTCAGCCTGGGAGTCGTGGAAGGAACATTGCCTTGGGGAGCAGATCTCAGCTTGGCAACGGCCCGTTACTGTCACTGCTGCTCAGTTCCCTGACTTGCTGGGGACCTCAGGAGCTCACTCTAATTGTGATTTGCCTCAAAATTACTTACCCTGTGGAAGATCTGGTGAAGGAAACTCAAGACCTTGTTTGCATCCCGATTCTAGTAAGCCAACTGTAAAAACTCCCTTTTTAAAAAAGATTTTATTTTGGGGGCACCAGGGTGGCCCAGTTGGTTAAGCCTCCAGGCTCTTGATCTCTGCTCAGGTCATGATGTCATGATTGGTGAGACTGAGCCTTGCATGGGGCCCCCATGCTAACAGCTTGGGGCCTGCTTGGGATTTTCTCTCTCCCTCTCTCGGCCCCTCCCCAATCACAGGAAAACACTCAGGTGTGCTCTCTCTCAAAATAAACCTAAAAAGATTTTATTTTTCAGTAATCTACACCAACTGTGGGGCTCAAACTCACAACCTGGAGATCAGTCTAGTTCCACAGACTGAGCCAGCCAGGTACCGCTAAAAAGTCCTATTTGAGATCACTGGAAATGTGAATATGGGCTGGGTTTTGGAGGATATGCAAAAAATTTGTTAGCGTTTTCCAGGTGGGATAAAAACATTGTAGTTATGTAAGAAACATGTCCACTATTTTTGGGGCGCCTGGGTGGCGCAGTCGGTTGGGCGTCCGACTTCAGCCAGGTCACGATCTCGCCGTCCGTGAGTTCGAGCCCCGCATCGGGCTCTGGGCTGATGGCTCAGAGCCTGGAGCCTGTTTCTGATTCTGTGTCTCCCTCTCTTTCTGCTTCTCCCCCGTTCATGCTCTGTCTCTCTCTGTCCCAAAAATAAATAAACGTTGAAAAAAAAAATTTTTTTTTAAATAAATAAAAAAAAAAAGAAACATGTCCACTATTTTTAGAGCTGCAGATTTTTAGAGATGAATGATGGGAAGGGTGAAATAGCCTGATGTCTGAAATCTGCTTTCATAAAGGAGAAAGTGGAAAGACAAGAGTGGCAAAATCCTGATCGTCGGTTTTCATCTCAGTGATGCGAATGAAGGGCCAATGTACCATTTGCCCTACTCTGTGTTTGAAATATTTTGTTTATATATTTATAGAAACTGAATGTAACGGCAGCTTGAAATCTTTGCTTCTGTCCTCTTTGGGCCCATATGCCTTACTAGGCCTTATCTGTAGTGGCCAGACAAGTGTTTGCTTCCACAAAGCTCTGCCTCTAAATAATTTGAAGTCTGAGGCAGCCAAGAACAAGTCAACTTGTTAAAGAGGCACTGGGCAGAGTTTCCGAAGCCAGCTGAGACTCACAAACTTTAATAGCTGTGACAGACTGCAGGAAAGACAAACTCTTGGGGCCTGGAATATGCAGATATCCAGGACCACATCCCTCTGGAATCAGGGTTAAGGGCAAATTCCAGTTTTACCCCATGTTTAGAGAAAATTAGACTGTTCCTCCAAACCTCATTTGCCCCCAAAGAACAAATGAGCATGGAAGGGGACTCTGGTGGCCAAAACTCACCAACCAAGTAGAAGGTGAGCAAACTGGGGGGAAGCCTGTACCTCTGGGCCTCACCTCTGCCCCTCCCCTCCCAGGGGCTCTTGGCAGGTCCCCCACTGACGAGTTAGGCTCCGCTGGCCCAAGATGAGGGTCAAAGATGACCCGAACACCCTAACTCAGGACCCAAGTTCTTAGGAGGCAGACACTATACCTAGGCCTGTAGTGACTGGCCTGCGTTCCATTCCTGTCCCAGCACACATCTGTCCTACGTGACCTCCTACTTTCCCCAGCACAGGGCCTCCCGCACCTAGGTCACCAAGCCCTGGTGGCTTCAGGGTCACTGAGATTAGGATCCTCCTCTGCCCTCTCCATACTCCTCCATTATTTTGAATAGGGTATTTACTTATTTATTTAACATTTATTTGTGAGAGCGAGAAAGACACAGCACAAGCAGAAGGGCAGAGAGGAAGACACCAAATCCAAAGCAGGCTCCAGGCTCTGAGCTGTCAGCACAGAGCTGACACAGGGTTCGATCCCACGAACTGCCAAGATCATGACCTGAGCTGATGTCAGAAGCTTAACCAACGGAGCCACCCAGGTGTCCCTTGAATGGGACATTTCAACCTAAAACCTAAAGTATAAACATAATTAAATTTATATGCATCACAGGTTGAATTGTGTTCCTATGAATGTGATCTTATTTGATGATGGGTCTTTGCAGATACAATCAAGTGGAGGTCCTTCTAGAGTAGGGTGTGCCCGAATCCAGTTACTCGTGTCCTTCAAAGAAATTTGGACACAGAGACAGATGGACAGACGGGAGGCTTGGTGGAGACGGAGGCAGATTGGAGTGACGAGTGTCAAGAATTGCCAGCAACCACCAGAAGCCACAACTATCCTCCCCTAGAGCCTTCAGAGAAAATTATGTCCCTGCTGACATTTTGATTTGATGAAGACTCTTAGGCTCCAGAACAAATTTCTGCCAGAGGCTACCCAATTTCTGGTCACTGGCTGTGCGGCCCCAGGAACCTACCACAATGCAGCAGAAACATCTGCTCTTTTAACCCTCACCATCGCCCTAGGAGGTAGGGAATATCCCGATCCCCGCTTTACAGGAACAGTTGCAAAGTGTGTCTAAATAAGTAGAGAACCAGGCTTTCCATCTGGGCCACCTAGATCACAGCCCATATCCTTAACCAGGAGACCAATCTTCTTTCTGCTGTCTGGATAAACGTATGGCTCTTTCCAAAGTTGAAAAGTTGATAGAAAAGCCTGGGTACCCAACTCGAGTGGCTACAATAAATAAAACAAACAATAACGTGTGGAAGAGGATGTGGGGAAATCAGAACGCTTCCGCACTGCTGGTGGGAACGGAGGATGGTCTGGAGTCTGGGAGTTTCTCAGACGGTTAAACACTGCCACCACATGATCCCGCAGTTCTCCTCCTAGGCACATACTTCCAGAAGAGCAATGAAAAGCTAGGTCCACACAAACACTTTTATGTGAACGTTCACAGTGGCATTATTCCTAAGAGCCCCAAAGTGGAAACAATTCAAGTAGTCCTCAACTGAGGAATGGATAGTACGATGTTATGTGGCCACGCACACAACAAAGGACAGTGCTGAACGTGCCACATGGATGAACCTCAAAAGCGTTACACTAAGCGAAAGAAACCAGATGCGAAACTACAAATTGTACGACTGCATTCATAGGAAGCGCACAGTAAAGGCAAGTGATGGACGGAAAGCGATCAATAGCTCCCAGCAGCTGGGGCTCAGAATGAGATCTTTAAATCTGAGATCTTGGGGGCTGAACGTGTTCTAAAACGGATCCGTAGTGATGGTTGAGCCCCTCAGTGAAGTTACCAAAAATCACGGATTGGTTTATTTGAAATGAGGGGATGGTACAATGTGTGAAATAAAGCTTTTTAAAAGATGTTTAGGTCGAAGGACCTATATAGGTCAAGAGCCAGCCGCCTTGGATTAATTTGGTTATTTTAGAACACAGAGGGGACACTACTGAGGTTTTCCAAACAGTTTTCAATGATAAAGTGCTTCACTTTATTTATGTGAATTTTAGCAGCAGAAAAAAAAAATGCCAGAACAATTCAGAATTAAAACAGGGCTGAGGCCAAGAACAAAAAAACGTTATTTGGACACTTAGAGGCTAAGAAGCCACTGTCCCCACTTCTTTAGAGGCTCTCCAGGTGATTAAGTAACCACCAGTTAAGTAACAACATCTTTTTTCCCCTCGTCCTAACAGCACCCCAGACACAGCCTTCAGCCTGGTGACAAGGACCCCTCTCCCAGCAGATGGGCTTCCCCCACTGGAGCGCCTCGGCCGCAGCGCCAGTCCGCGGATTCTCTGGCGGTGCGATTCCTTGCCCAAGGACAGATCCAAACAGCAGCCTGGTGTAGGTGGGTGTAGGTGAAGCAGAGCCACCTGACAGAGCTCTCTCCAGAAACCCCTTTTTAAGAAGTCCTGCAGGATGGGCAAACCCTCTCCTAACTCCCTAGCGTGCGGTACGCATCAGTAACACCTCTTTCGGGAGATCCTGAAGGCTTGAGTCGGGCCCATCTATTCTCTACTCAAACTGGGTAACTGAAGGTGACGTAGCTGCCTGGCTTTCCAGACAGGACATCCTCTAACTCCGGGACAGTGAGACGGAGCAGCCCTCGGCAAGAGCCGGGCAAGGCAACAGAGCCCATCTGTCCCCAGGCCCCTCTCGGTCAGGACTTCAGGCCCATCTTGGCCATCATCTCCTCGTAGACTGTCCATGCCATTGCTGCCATCAGAGTTCTGCGGAGGGCCCGGGGGACGCCACCTTGGAAGAAGCCACGCAGCCCATAATCCTACAAGGAAAATGAACGTCAACACTCTGGAAGCAAAGCAGCAATACAATGAACACCCCTAGCACACAAGAGCGAGGGTCTCCGTTACCCCATTGTTGAGTCTTCATTTTCAGACTTTTATAGATAATGCCAAGAGTATGAATAATGGACCCAAGAAGGCAATGAACTTGAAAAGGTTTTTTTTGGCACAGTTGCGAACCTTTCTTGCTTTATCCAGGGGAATGCATTTCTCGGCTGAAAATCTTCATCAAGGGTTGCCTATACCGCTGTGCAGCTTACACAGCTCAGAGGCACCAAGTGCAGCTGGCGGCTGAGTCCCAGACCTCGGTCTGCATGCCAAGACCTGGGCCCTGGCTCCAGGCTAGAGGAAAAGGTGCCTTTATGATGATTTGTCTGCCTGGAGGGAGCTTCTTTCCATAGTTTCATAATATAAGAATTAGAGACAAAGCCTGTTACTCCTCTAGAGCAAATTTCTAGAAACAAAATAATGTGTTTGTGGGGTTTTTTGGGGACTCTGGTTCCTCCTAGGTCCTTGATCGGATGACTAGACCCTCCCTGCTCACCTGATTCAATAGGTAAGGGGTGGAGCCCAGCAATTCCAAGTTTAACAAATATAACTGGTTGTCCTAATGTAGTCAGTTTCCCCCACCCACCACCAAAAAATCCCCGCAACCAACCATAGGTTTTTAGCAGTGATTTCAACCTTGGCAACACCTTGGAATCACTAGGGAACTTAACTACTGATCCGGGCTTCACCTGCTCCCAGGCATTCAGATATCACCAGCCCAGATTATGATCTGGAAGTGAGGACTTTTCTTTTTTAGTTTCTTTATTTATTTTGAGAGACAGAGAGAGAGAGAGAATGCAAACCAGGGAGGGTCATGGAGAGCGAGAATTCCAAGCAGGCTCCACACCATAAGTGTGGAACCCAAACTCATGAACTGTGAGATCATGACCTGAGCCAAAATCAAGAGTTGGACACTTAACCGGCTGAACCACCCAGGCGCCCCAGGGAGTGGGAACGTTTTTAAAGCTCCCCAAGTGATTCTAATGTGTAAAGGGCACAAGATACTGCTCTAGAGAGAGCCGTAACCCCAATAAGAACCAATATTTACTCCATAGCCTTACTTTGAAAATGAGGGTCACCGCCTGGCCAATCCACCGAAATTTCACTGGGGTGAGCTGCATATGAGTTTTGATGACATCCGCAGGTTGAGTTACCAGGGAGGCCAGAATACCAGCAAAGATCCCACAGCTGAAATTTACAACAGGAATAAGGACTGCATCCAACTGGTCTGAAATAGGACAAAGGCAACATTCGGTTACAAATAAATCCCACACTCAACTCAGAAGTATCCCTACTAAGTTGACCACTAATCCTTCCCCAAAGTTAGAAGGATGTAGATTCAGACAAGGTTAAGAAATAGACATTTAAAGGTACACTATGTGTAGATGGAGTAGTGGGAGTTAAAATTCGCCTTTTTTTTTTTTTTTTTTTTTTTTTTACAACTATCGCCATCATAATTCATTCGGGCAAGAATCATGGGCTAAAACATATGAATGAAAGGAACAGGATGTTTTATATAGATGTATGCAGACTCCAGGTATCTCCCCAGTGAGACGCTTACAAATGACAAAAGAAAAAGTGAGTTTTCAGTGGAGACACTATCTTGTCCAAGTGATAAAAAGTTAGTATCGCCCACAGTGGGTCAAACCAATGTCATGAGCTTCCTGACATGGAGATATTTAAGGGTAAAGGGGCATCCCTCCTGCAACTTGCTCTTAAACAGATGGGAATAAACAATTATACATATAGAGAAATCAAAAGTGTACATCCAAGCTCCCTTACTGCCCTAACTTTCCATGGCAAAATGAAGGCTGTGACCTGCAGTGTCACGGCCCCCGGTGCCTTGGGCGGAGCAGGAAGCCTCCTAAAAAGCACCCCAACTGTACTTGATCACCACCGTCATGATGGCATGCCAGCTTTCCCACTTACGTGACCTTGGTTGCATATCCTTTCTCGAATTATCCAGAGACCCCTTATTGAACACAGGTTCATGCCACAGAACGTGTTTCCATTAGCACCTGGCTCCGCTTGGGTGAACGTTTGCTGCCCACTGATTGTGTCCTTGTCGTATCCAAATGAGCTTGCTGGTGGGGTGGGTGTGCCAGAACGCCTGAGGTTTGGCACCTTTCTCTCCACCCCAACAGAGGTTCAAAACCACTCTTAACTGGGAACACAGCAATGGAGGTGAAATGGTACTTTCCTTCCAGCTCCTACCCTACTGGCATTTCCCAGACTTGTCTGATGAGAATCCCACCAACTGCTTCTTGAGGAATAGACTCCCAGGTCTTGTTCCAAAGCTTCTGATGCAGGAGGCCCTGGGCAGGACCCAGCAATCTAAAGATGGGGTAACTCTGCAAAGTATTATGGCAGGACTTCTGCGAAACACGCTTTACTTCACCGCCTACCCCACTCAAGATTTTTAACATTTTTTATTTATTTTTGGGACAGAGAGAGACAGAGCATGAACGGGGGAGGGGCAGAGAGAGAGGGAGACACAGAATCGGAAACAGGCTCCAGGCTCCGAGCCATCAGCCCAGAGCCCGACGCGGGGCTCGAACTCACGAACCGCGAGATCGTGACCCGGCTGAAGTCGGACGCTCAACCGACTGCGCCACCCAGGCGCCCCAAGATTTTTAGTACTACCAGTACTCTGCCATAAGAGACTATAAACTGGAGAGGGCAGGGACCAAGTGTATCATGACCACCACTGCATCCCAGCACCTGACATGGCTCAGTTCCTAAAACTCTGCCAAGAATCTGGAGTTGCTAAGAACATTAAACAGTGTCACACAGCAGAGGAAGCAGGGAGGATCTGCGGTCCCGGAGCTCTCTCTTCCCCGCCACACCTTCGACCGTCCGTACCGTGGGTCATGATGTTTTTGGTCTGGTTGTAAAACATCAGGTAGATTCCAGAAAAGGGTGCGTCACGCAGAAGTGTTGCTGTCAGGCCACTGAAGAGTCCCCGGTGCCCCTCGCTGCGATAGATGCTCTTCAGGGCTGCGTAGATGCTCTCATAGCCATACCTCCCGCTCTGCAAGGGAAGCACAGGACCAGTGGCTGGCAGGGCGGTCCCGGGCTGGAGTAACAACCAATGCGACTCCAGGGTATGTGGCATTACCGGGGCACCGGGGGCTCTGGTTCCCACGTGGCTTGGGTTCTCTGACCACAGCAGCCTCTATTTTTGATTCTAAATCGGGGGTGGACATCGGACGGCGGCCCAGTGCCTCTGGTTACCCAGCCTTGAGGCCTAGAGCAGTCAGACTCACCTCGTAACGGGTCTTGATCACAGTGATGGGTGACATGCAGACCCCTGCAACTGAGCGAGAGCCCACTCCCAGGATGACTGACTCCAGGGCGGTTGGTGGATGGCCTCGCAGAAAGTACTGCTTCAAGGAGTAGAGGGTGCCGAAGTAGATACCAATGCCGGGGACACACCTCACAATGGACTGCAGAAAACGTCAGAGGGGGGGGGAAGAAGTCAAAGGCTGACACAGTAAGACACCGTCTTAGCCGGCTTTTCCCAAAACAAGGCCAAGGTTTGTGTGCCAGTAGTCGACTGAAGGTGCGGAGGGACACCAAGAAGAGAAAGGGGAAGTGAGAGACAGGAGGGAAGGCAGCTGACAAAGGGCGTGTTCCCTAAGCCACTACTGCCCTGGGCAACTCAATCCCTTTGGGGAACTCTGGGAATCTTGGTGTAGGGCGCCTCCCTGTTACCCCGCCATCTGAGGAGGGTGAGTGAGAGTTTTAAGTATCCAGTGTCATCTTCGGTCGACTAATGGGCTGCTGCGGGCCTGGGTGAGCGTTAATTTCCTGGCACTTCCGGCAAAGTGACTTCCTCACTTCCGGCAAAGTGACTTCCTCACTTCCGGCAAAGTGACTTCCTAGGGCCAGGAAAGCCGGCAGGTAAAGAAATGCAGGTGTGGCCTGCGTGCTCTGAAGGGCAAGGACAAGGACATGCTGGCAGCTGAGGGCACCAGCTACATCTGCTCTGCCGCTTGCCCCCAAAGGGCATACAGACGTCCCATTTCCTTCCCTGAGCCCTCAGAGCTAGCAGCAGGAGACCAACCGAGGACCTCGTAGGACGCTCACCTATCCTAACGAGAGGATACGTGAGGTGCATGAGAAATGGCTGGCTATTACAGCAAAGGGTGCAAGAGAAGACCCAAAACGCAGCTTACGGGAGACATCCCTTTCCAAAGGCCCAGAATGCTCTCCGTGCGAACCACCTTCAAGAGAAGAGCCAGCATCCCAACACGCCTGGATCTGAAAGCAGACAGAATGGAGACACAGATGAAAAAAAATGACTTAGACCCCCATCCTCGTAAAAGAGCTCCCCACCCAAAGACCCGCTTTGCGGGACTTCTTTCCTAAGAACGCTCGGGAGTCTCGGCAACACCTCTTGGGGTAACTCCGAGTTCAGCTACGTTCGTGGTTTGGCGCGTACATGTCGATCTGTGCATTCACACTGGAAGGATGACCTCCCATTTTGCATGCGTGTCGTATACTTCCCACAGTGCCAGGCCCAGTAGGGGCATAAAAGAGCCACTTAACATTTGTATTATTTCCAGAAAACCACCCACACGTCTCGTAGCAGACAGCACAGTTAAAACATTACAGGCTAGCACGAGAAAATGCGAATGTCCCCCCATTCAATTAACAGGAAATGTCGAAGAAAAGGTGGGGTGAAAAGTTGGGCCTGGCCTGTGTTTCTCTCGAAGCATCCAGCAGGATGGGCATTGACTTAACATTGCTGAGAGGCAGCGGTGTCTGAGAGAAGTTGTTGAAACCAGTTCCTCAAAGAAATGGGGGGCGGCAGGCCTTACCCATGGGCTGGGGGCTGGAGAGTCTGCAGGCGAGTTTTGAGGAGGTCTAGGGGCTGGAAAAGGAGGGTGGAGCAGGTCCCACTGATGGAGCCACACAGGAAAGCTTTGATCACCGGATGCAGCTGCAGGGCAAGAGAACGCTGGGTCAGCAACTCGGTCGCCAGGGGCCTCAGCCTTCTCCACCCGAGACCAGTCAACTGCTCTCTAGGGGTGGCTTAGAAAACCGTCCGGTGGTGCTCTGTATTACCTTCCCACTTCAGAGAAGGGAAAAGTGTTCCCAGGAATGAACAGCGCTGGCATGTTGCGCAGAACATAATATCCTGCTGTTGGGATCTCTCCAGCCCTAGTGCTGAGGAGCCAGGAACATCCTGGGGAGCAATGTCTATCCACGTTCATCTGTGAATCAGGCCCCCAACCACACCTCCCTCGGTCTAGCTAGAGACAAGTTATTGGCCATCTCCTTATCTTCACAGAGCAAAGTCAACTGAAGGGGAGTGTCTGAACCAAGGTCACCGGGGTCTCTTGCTTATCAAACCTGTAGATATTTATAGGAGCAAGACAGAGAAATGAAACCGCAAGTTCAGTTTCAATGTAAGACATGGGCTACTTCCTGAAAAACCTATGAACTTTCTTAACTTAAAGCTTTCCCTTTCTCTCTCCTATCCACGCATCTCCCTGCCACCTAAGCAGATCACAGACAGTGCACTGGACCAGCAGCCACCCCCGGGTTTGGTGGCTCTCCTTTAAACCAGGACAGTCACACACGCTGGCTAATTTAGAGGCACCACCAGAAGGGGCAAGGGCTAGATGTACTTCCTCGGAGCCCGACACACTAGAGGTCTCAAAGCTTGCCTCGGAATCCACTCGATCACAAATGTGTGAGGAAGGCACTTTAAAAAACCCAACCACGGAAGAAAAGCCCTCTTTTCCAAAGGAGACACTGGGCAAACTCCATCCTAAAAGACCTTCCTTCTCTCTCCTCATTAAATGGCATTTGCACTATTTTTTTTTTTTTT